AATGGATAATAGTAATCCTTTAAGATTGAGTGACATTCATTCTGGAATAAATTCTGATTCTCAATGGTATGATCTTTACTTAGGGGAAATGAACTGGACACTTGGTTGGTATTTCTATTGGAGGGTTGTTTTTGTTTTGTTTTGTTTTTTTCCTATTCTCTTAGTCACCAAATTTTATTGATTTTTTGGATTTGTGCATGCATGCTTTTATTCCTTTTACTTTGAGTTATTGCATTCTTTCTGGGAAGATGGCTGAAACATGTAGAAAGGAGAGTTTATGCCTTTATGGAAATGTAGTTTTCATATGTCAGAATACTAACAGTGGTACTCATTTTATCCTGTGTTATAAAGAACCTGACTGCGTGAGTTTTGCCTAATTTGGAAAACTTTTTAAAAGCATAGCCTTGACTTTCATTCACTCATAGCACTGCATGTTCTATCAAGTAAGGATGATGTAATATGACTTCTGAGTGAAGGCACCAGATTGAAATACTATTTTTTGTGGGTTTTCACTGGTACTTGCCATTTGGTGAAGAGAACATTCTATTTCTTTAAATTAGTGGACTAATAGAGAAAACAATTTTTCCAGAAAATTGTTTTTCCCACTAATTATAATAGTAGAACCTTAAAAATTCTAATCCGAGAGCAGTGATCTTCATCTACTTTGTTCACTCATATGTCCAATGACTTACTCCATTACTGCCTTTGTAGGTATTTAATATATATTTGTTGAATAAAAGAATCACTAGTATACTTTTTAATTGATAAGTTGAATTTTTTTTATTCTTCCAATGGGCCTTTGATCGGAACCAAATGCATCCTTGTCTGTTGGAGTATTTTTTTTTCTTTATGTTTTCCTTTTCTCTGGAAAGCATAGGAATAAGTTTCTCCAGCTCCTTGATGAAGATGGTTTGTGAGTTGTGCCCATCCCACCCCTACACATTTCAAATATTTGTAGCTATTTGCAATGTAGAAATCTGTATACTTAAGGGTAATGCTGGAAATAACAGAATAATGGAGTTTTGTTTTTCTTTTTAATTTTCTATGGGACTTTAGAGATTGTCTAGTCCAACTCTCTCATTTAAGATGGAGAAAATTAAAGGCCGAAGATTTTTTAGCTCAGGGCCCCTCTGCTAATTAGTGTTACTACAAAACTAGAACCCAGTCCCCTGACTCCCAAGTGTTTTTTTTCACACACCTTATAAATAGCCTTTTGAAGGTGAAGACTTTTTCCATTTAAAATATTGATTCACCATCATGACATCTTCAAGCAAATATCTTAATGCCCAAACTATTAAAAAAAAAAAAAAAACTTTCTCCCCCAAGTAAAAGAGTATTTCATAGCCAAAAATTCTTTTCGAAAACCTGTTCTTCCCAGGCTATTAATGCAGAGAGTACTAACATGTCTGTCAGTAGATATACTCTATAGTATCAGTAGGCAATCTCTTATATCAATAATTTAAACTTGTTTTCATATCTTGAATTGTATTTGCAAGGAAATTGGCTTCTGAATAGTGGAGTACAAATATTATTACAATATTCTCAGTTGCTAAGATGCAAACTCTTTGGGGTTCAGTTGCTGTGTCTCTGTCTCAACAAGCAGGCAAGTGAGGACCTGTGTGTTTAACTAGATAACTTAAGGTAAGGATCAATCTGAATTTTAAGAGCTTATGTTATAACAGCACTAATTTGATATCAAAAGTACTCTACCCATAGCAGTCTTTGTATTTTAAGTAAAAATATTAAGAGCTTATGTTATAACAGCACTAATTTGATATCAAAAGTACTCTACCCATAGCAGTCTTTGTATTTTAAGTAAAAGTAGTAGATTTTTATGTCATCTAGCTTTTTTGTCATTTTTGCTTTAAGTGGATTGTTATTGATTAGAATTTATAAATGGTTTTCTTTTCTTTTTCCAAAAACACCTGTAAATTTGAACTTGGAGGAGGAGGGCATGCATAAGAACTAAATTAACTAAAGAGAGAATCTTTTTCTCTCCCAGTCTCATTCTGTAGAGTTTTGTATGTTCCTAGGTACCACATGCACTCCCTGTCCTCAGTAGTCTCTTGATGGGTCCTCACAGTCAGATAGGAGTGTATGACAGTCCCATTAAAAGACACTTTTTCATAGCACCATTGATGAGAGAAATTCCTCTTTTCAGATAGTCCATTAAATTAACACTATAACATCATTTTACATTCGGACCAATATGCAAATCTCAAATGCTCTATTGCAAGTAAGGTACATCTCAATTTTTTCCTCAGTATTTGATAGTTAGTAATATTTTTAACATAATTTCTACTTCGTATTCCATTTCAAAGTGAATTTAATAGACAGGAATCATCAGTAACCTATTTTTATTTCTCCATGTCTCAAAAAGTAAATTGATAAACTTTGGATTCATGAGTATGTCATAAAACATCACTTTGTGAAAGAAAGGCAAACATTCTAAAACCAATGACACAATACTTAATTTCCTAGTTTTTAAAATTAGTCCAGAATTTAAAAGGCAGTTCCATAAATGAAACTGGGTGATTAGAAATATAGCAGACGGTGTGTGAGTATTGGGATAAGCTTCTAGTTGGCAGTATAGTTAACTAACTAATTCAATTTAGAGTAGAGTTTAGAAAGGATTAAAGAGAAACAGCTTTGATCAAATATGTGAAAACTAACATTATTGAAATGTTAAAATTGGAATACCCACTTTGTCACCAGAGATGACAATAATACCTGAATAAACCAGTATTTCTTTCCATTTAAAATAGTATCCTGATTAACATAGAAGATTAGGATGTAAGAATATATGATAATTGTATGATTAACATATAAGAACACAGTAATAAAAAAACTGAATTGCTTGTTTAACTCTAAAGTTCCTCTTGTTGGAAATTATTATTTCCAACAATTACAATTTCTTGTCAAAATTATCTAAAATAAAATCTTCCAAGAGATATTATAGAAGTAGTCTATACAGCATTAACTTGTTAGGATTTTATTTTTCAGATGCTGCTTTTTAAAATAACCCTGCTTTTATTTTATTTTTTTTCAATATGTGAAGTTTATTGTCAAATTGGTTTCCATACAACACCCAGTGCTCATCCCAAAAGGTGCCCTCCTCAGTACCCATCGCCCACCCTCTCCTCCCTCCCACCCCCCATCAACCCTCAGTTTGTCCTCAGTTTTTAAGAGTCTCTTATGCTTTGGCTCTCTTCCACTCTAACCTCTTTTTTTTTTCCTTCCCCTCCCCCATGGGTTTCTGTTAACTTTCTCAGGATCCACATAAGAGTGAAACCATATGGTATCTGTCTTTCTCTGTATGGCTTATTTCACTTAGCATCACACTCTCCAGTTCCATCCACGTGGCTACAAAGGGCCATATTTCATTCTTTCTCATTGCCACGTAGTACTCCATTGTGTATATAAACCACAATTTCTTTATCCATTCATCAGTTGATGGACATTTAGGCTCTTTCCATAATTTGGCTATTGTTGAGAGTGCTGCTATAAACATTGGGGTACAAGTGCCCCTATGCATCAGTACTCCTGTATCCCTTGGGTAAATTCCTAACAGTGCTATTGCTGGGTCATAGGGTAGGTCTTAAAATAACCCTGCTTTTAAAATGTAGCCAAGAACTGCAGGTTCAGTTTCTAAAATGTTTATAGAAAATACATTATAAATGTGGAATTTAATTATCTAAAATACTAAAGATTTGGCTTGCCCAAGCTTTTGTTAAATTGATCCTTAGTTTATATTACTTCATTCTTAATATATTACTTCATGATATGCAACCATTTAGAATGGATAATTTACTTATGTTACATGAAGTAATAATCTTGAATTTAAATAAATTATATAGTGTGATGTAAGTAGACAAAATTATAGAATTTTTCTATAGAAATGAAATTTTGAATAATTTTAGGAATACACTGAAAAATTTGATACACATAAACTTTGAAAAATTTGGTGCCCATATCTGAGTGATCAAAAATATTCATCCACTCATTGTTGGGATGATATTTTTAGGATATTTTTAAGACATTTTTTGAACTGGATGGAGTCAACATATCTTAGCAGGATCTGATTCATCTAACAAGATAAACTGCCTTGAGTTTTAATATAAGACCACTTTTTTCTTTCTTTTAAATACACAGCTCATAATCTGCTAAGCTTAAAATATGCAAATAAATTATTTCAACTTTAAAATTTATAATCTATTTTGAATTATAACAAACACTTGAGAAAGGAGAGGCAAAGCTCTTTTTAACCACAAAGGACATATGGAAAAGAAATTTCTTTACCATTTTAAAAAGCCACCAAAAAAAAAAAAAAGGTAAAAAATTTGGCAACGTTAAAATTATTAAAGGAAATTGATAACCAAACTGGATAATTCAGTCCAAACTATATGTTCAGAACCCAATTTACATAATGATATAGTCAATAAGTCTGTTCCTGAAGTCTTTGCTAAGATTCAGTTGCCTAAATCTCCTAATCTTTTTTTGCCAATTAAATGTCATTGTCTTAATAAAATTCACATTAAAAATTTTTTTTTGCTTTAGTCATCTTTTTTTAATGTTTATTTCTGAGAGAAAGGTAGAGCGTTAGTGGAGGAGAGGCAGAGAGAGAGGGAGACAGAGGCTTGGAATCAGACTTTGCGCTGAAAGCAGAGAGGGTCTCGTAGGGGCTCGAACTCATAAATCATGAGGTCATGACCTGAGCCGAAATCAAGAGTAGGACACCTAACTGACCAAGCCGCCCAGGAGCCCCAGCTTTACTTATCTTTGGTGTTTTTATATTTTCTTTGGAAAATGTTCTAGATATTCTACAAAATGAAAAAATAGGACGGTAATTTTTCTTAAAAGAGTTTATTCTACTGAAAGCAGCCACATAGGGAGATAAGTTGACTTATGTTTTGTATAATTCTCCAATTCTTTAAAACAGTTTATTTTACATTGTGTCATTTATGTTTTGTTTTATTTATTTATTTGTTTTACTTCAATAGCCTTTTATGTCACCTCGGTACCCTGGAGGTCCAAGGCCCCCATTGAGGATACCTAACCAGGTAAGATTCGTGTGCTGCTTAAGTTTCTGAGTTTTGTTGTTGTTGTTATTGTTATTGTTTTTAAGATTCAATAAAGATCTTAAAAATTTCGTGAATATTTCTTACCTATAAAAACATTAAATTCTTCTTTCTCTATCCCATTTAATGCTACTTCTAGTAACATATAATCTATTTCAAAAATTGACAAACTACTGTCCATATGTTGACTGACTGTTTTTGTAAATAAAGTTTTATTGAAAAATAGCCATTCATTCATGTATTGTCTGTGACTTCCTTTACACTGCAGTAACAGATTTTTGAGCGGTCAGATATTTACTATCTGGATCTTTACAGAAGAAAAGTTTGTTGAACCTTGGAATCTACTCTATACCCTGAACTTAATTGTATATGTATGTGTGCGTGTGTGTATGTGTGTGTGTAATTTTGGTAAATGCTAAATACTTTTATTTAAAGATGGTAATAAAACTTTCTATAGAATGAACATACTTTGGTTTATTTTTGTATAATATGCTCTCAACATCATGGTTGCAATACATCAGTTTTGCCCAAATATAGTGATATCTCGGGTATATAAATACCTGCTTGTGGAAGGGTTAGATCTATTAATAAATAAATTGTTAGCAATAGATCTTCCAACTTTTTTTACCTACTAGAGCTCTGCGATTTCATAAGCTTTTATCCTTACATAGTTCTTTTATCAATACCATAAATACTTATTTGCTAAAGAGAATAATGCACAGTTTTTACTTGAAAGGAGTTTATAGTTTAGTTTCAGGATACAGAACGTGTGCATTTACATAACACAAGAAGAAATTAAATGCCTAATTTTATGAAATAGTTATGTCAAGATAATTGTTTTGTTACTTTCTTTAATTCTGTTATTGTATACCTCAGCATTTTCCGCAATCTAAAGTAAACCCTGTTATTCCACAAAATTCTTTTTCATTCTTACTCTCTTTCTGTCTCCACTTCCTTTCTGACCAAAAATACAACAAAGTTGTGTTTACTAACATATTTCATAGCAACAGAGTGCTGCTTCTCCTCTACTAACTCTTACTGAAATTATGCTGTGTCCTTGAAGTGTCCCAGTTTGCTGTTTTTTTTCTGCTTTTAGTGCACAGCAAGGAGTGCCAGCACCCACATCCACCCCCAAGGGAGAACTTGAAGCAGGCAGTGGTGCTGGATGATCTCATGGTTATAGTGCTGGGAGGCCTCACATTAGCAGCTGGAGGAGTTTTTTCCTTCAGACTGAATCTGCATTCAGTACATAGGGCCAGGGAAACACAGCATGAAATAGGAAAAGGAAGTGCACAGATGCCAAGTGTTCTAACATATGGAGATTTTATTTTCTCTGTGGGTGAACCTATGTATATTGACAGTCAAATCCCCTTATATAGGTGCCCAAGTCTTTTAAATTTCCTTCTAAAAGATGGAAAGTTGTATCTTTCATTGGGGTCTTCATAATGTTTCAGACATCCCATCCATAGCTTTGTATGTTATATAGATCTAAGAGGTTCCTGAAAATGTGAATTAGGGATTATGTTATCAGAAATTTTGACTTCATATATTCTGTATCAATGAAGAAATTCTTAAGGGATTATTGCTTTCGCATCCATTTGACATTGTTGAAATGCCTGCCATGTCTAACATACAATGCTAGGTTCCATATGTACAGAGACTTATATAATGAAAAACATACTTTGTGAAAGAGGATGGGGCGCCTGGGTGGCGCAGTCGGTGAAGCGTCCAACTTCAGCCAGGTCAGGATCTCGCTGTCCATGAGTTCGAGCCCCGCGTCGGGCTCTGGGCTGATGGCTCAGAGCCTGGAGCCTGTTTCCGATTCTGTGTCTCCCTCTCTCTCTGCCCCTCCCCCGTTCATGCTCTGTCTCTCTCTGTCCCAAAAATAAATAAACGTTGAAAAAAATTAAAAAAAAAAAAAAGAAAGAGGAATAAGTTATGGAATTGTAAACCTAGACTGAATTTGTTTTTAAGAACAAGTATAGGTTGCTTTTGGATTTATAAAAATGTTTTAAAAATTTAAAGATAGTAAAGAATTATCATAACAGGCTCTTTTTCCTCAAGAATCTTAAAGTCTTTACCTAAGTGTTTTTTAAAATAATTGTACTCATATCTGAGTGGCTCTTTTTTGTCTACTCACCGCCCCCCCCCCACATTTATATAGTTAAACTTTATTAATTCAAACATCTATCTTTCAAATTTATAATTTTATATTTATACTATTTTAAAAAGAATTTTCTGATCAAATTAATTGTGTTAATAGTGTAAACATAATGTTTTACAAAATGTTGAACCTAGTTAGGAGCATGACCTTTCCAAGCAACAGAATGTTTCTTCAATTTCTTTACATAGTCACTAACGTAGAATCAGAAAAACTATATTTGGTGATTAATTGGAATGTTGCATATAAAAACAACACAAATATGTTTTTTATTTCATCTTCATTTAAAATGATCATAAACTAATTAAAGTTTGTTTTATTGATAGATTATATCTAAGAAAATAAAAAGTGAAATACTCTTCAATGGTGTTGGCTAGTCATTTTGAATATGTAAAAGATATTCCTTTAATAAACAGATTCTTCAGAATTTATAACTACTAATGATTAGACTGTAGATTTTTTTTTAGATTTTATTTTTAAGCAATCTCTACAACTAACACGGGCCTCAAACCCACAAGCCCAAGATCAAGAGTCACACACCCCACCAAATGAGCCAGCCAGGTGCCTCTAGACTGTAGATTTTCACTTGAATTCTCCTGAGATGGTTTTAATGGTTCTCAAGTAACTTCACAACGGTTTATACTGTATATATATTTATAGTACAGGGTATTTGGAACTTGTTATAATATCACTCTGCCAAAGGAAAAAAAATACAAGAAGGGGTAATGGTCTCTAAAATGATGGAAGAAAAGTGGGGCACCTGGTGGTTCAGTTGGTTAAGTGTCTAACTCTTGGTTTTGGCTCATGTCATGATCTTGCGGTTCATGAGTTCGAGCCCCTCATTACACTCTGCACTGGCAGTGTGGACCCTGCTTGGTATTCTGTCTCTTTTCCTCTCTAGCTGCCTCTCCCCTGCTCACTCTCTGGCTCTCTCAAACAAATAAACTTTAAGAAAAATTTTTTAAATAATAATAATAAAATGATGGTAGAAAAGTAAAATGATAAGCATATGCAATGTTGTAAAGAATAAATACATATTAAAACATATGAAACATAGAAATTAAGTCCAAAAAGTATATTTGACTATACAGTTTTACATTGGAATTGGTTCAGCCATCAGAAGAGATCATTGGTGTTGAAGCATCTGTAACCTGGAATAGAACAAGTCTTTATCCTTCTCTTAGGTAAAACGTTTACCAAAAAAATTCATAATGTTTATTGAACACTGTGCTGAGGGAACCAAGGCAGCCAGAATACAGAGACTGTTAATGAGTGATACCAAGCATAAACTATTGATTTATTGATCCTATAGAATTTTGAGTTTATACTCTATTTTTGACCATTCCTGAAACTCTGTAAACAGGTATGTGACATAGTTAATGCTGTTGACCATATAATATTCCAAAGCTGATTTGGTATTCTAAAAACACAGTGCATCTGACTATTCTATTGAAAGTCTCAAAGGTATTTCTCCATTAGCAGATGAATAGTTAAATTATGGTATATCCAAATGGTGAAATAATATGCAGCTATTAAAAAGCATATTATAGAATTACACTTATTGATATGATAAAATGTTAATGATCTATTACCAACTGTAAAGAAGGCATAAAGGTCATGTAGTATATCACCTTTTCTTTATCACTATACAAACTCAGTTTCCCCCACTCATCATACACAAACACATACACACACACACACACACACACACACACACATTTGTCAAAGATTATCAAGATATGTCCTTTATTTCTGGATAGTAGAATTATGAGTGCTTTCTTTGTTTATTTCTGCATATTTTTATTTAAAAAATTTTTTTTAATATTTATTTATTTTTGAGAGAGACAGACAGAGAGTGAGCGGGGAAGGGGCAAAGGGAGACAGACAGAAACTAAAGCAGGCTCCAGGCTCTGAGCTGTCCACACACAGCCCAACATGGGAGCTGAACTCACAGACTGCAAGATCATGACCTGAGCTGAAGTCAGATGCTTAACTGACTGAGCCACCCAGGTGCCCCTATTTCTTCATTTTTAAAGTTTGCATTGAAAAAGTATTTCATTTGTGATTAGAAGATATTACTAGTTAATTTTGTACATAGATAAAAGTATAGATGTTTTATTCTTTTAGTTATTCAATATTTAAGATTATTCTCCATTAATATTGAATATATAGTTCTTACATGATGAAAAGAAAAACATAATATATGCTAAGGATAGGCAAATCTTTAAAAAAAAGACTTTTCTTCATCACTTTTCATAGAGAAACTATCAACAGGCATTTGAACAGAAAAAAATTGTTGGGATGTTTTCTCAGATACTGAAAATAAATTTTACATTTCCTGTATAACAAGGTATCTATATTTTAAAATGCACTTTGTGTTCTATTTTCAGGATAAATACCATTTAGCATGGCTTTTCCCAATAGTTTTGTCTTGGTAACATTTTCCATATACAAAATCCTACTTTTGTTTAATGATATCAGTGTAAGAACATAAGAAAGACCTCAGCTGCACAAGGCAAAGTATGTTCTACCTTGAGTAAATAATAGTAGTCTTCTAGCTGCAATTGTAAGGATGACCACAGTAAATCTTTAGCTATAAAAATTAAATGTTGCACCTGTCTAATATAAATACTTAATAAAGTATAGTTTTTTTGGCCAGTTCAAAATATTCCTTTCTGTCATTGAGATCTTATTTCTTTGTTGTTATGATAATTACACTATTAATGTATTTAAATTATTATTTGAAATCCATTGAAACACATTTAAAAACCTGTTTTCCTTATAACTTTGAATTATGAGTGTATCCTGAGATATATACCCT